CGAGGGACCTGTAACGATGGGACCGGCAATCCTTAGCCGCAGTGAACCTGTAGTAGCCAGCATTATACCCTTCGCTCGGTCTGCTCAGAGCGTGAAGTTGTGCAGTGTTTGTCGACTTTCAGTTTTCAGGCCAGTCAAGGTCGACCCAGACAGATGATGGTGGGTGGTAGCAAGATCACACAAGATGAAACATGTGCAACTCCTTCACCCTCAGAGTCTTTGGATTTGACAGCAAGGATGGCCCTAAAAAGCCCCAGAAGGTGCTCCTTTGATTGTACAGCTCATCTAGGGTAAAGAGATGTAAAGATACTTCGAAGTCTCCCAATCGCCCAGGCCCTGATGGACAGATGGCTGTGACTTTCACCACTGATGATGTGTGGACCACAGTTTTCTGGGAGAACCCATGACGCGTGGCATGACATTGTCACTGACGTCTCTGTGACATTTCCTTTGCAATGGGAAGTCTGTCATATGTTGCAGACCCTTTCATTGCCTGACACATGCACCATGCTTCATGTTCACGACGTACCCCCAAAATGTATCCTTGAAGTATTTGGGGATATTTGACAGAAGGACCTGGCAATGTTTTGTTTTAGTCTGTTTGGCCTTTGGGAATACTCTACATACAAGCAGCTATATAAATAAAGCATGATCATGCATGATAATGCTATAGGCTGCAAGGTCATGTAAGGTCTGCATAATTCAATGGGAATTTGGAGTGGAAGGCACCGTATCCGAGGTTTCTTTCGGACATTAGACGACATTAGATGTTCCATGCACCCACTTCACTTTTTGCATCCTTTTGCCTTCCATAGGCAATGATTGAGAACGTCTACCGACTACCAGGGCATATAGCTTCTGCACATGTTCATCATTTCATCACGGTCACCATCGTCAGCCTATTGGATCATGGAACACGTTGCACCAAGTCTTCATTGAGCTCCTGGCATCGCTACTATACTAGGAGCTAGTAGCTTTTTGTTACTAGTAGCGATGCCAGGAGCCCCTAGTAGCTTGCTCCTAGTAGCTTCTAGTTTCAGTCTCGTTCGCAACCTCCGCAATGCGCCGCGATGCGTTCGAGGCCAAGACTTTTTACATTTGGCGCAACTTTGGTCGCGAGGCTGGGAGCTTTGAGCCATTTTGGAGCCTTGCTGGGTGCGGACGCTGTTTGGATCGCTCCAGGTCAGGAAGGGCTGTGTCGGTCCGGCGGCTGGACTGACGCAGATCTTCACCGCTTCTTCGGGGCGTCAGTAGCACCCTAAGAGGAGTGTTGAATGAGGCTTTGAACAAAGAAATCGCTGATGATTTGGCGGATGATTGCACACATGTCAGCCTCTCCATCTACAAAGCTTGTCATCATGTGAGCACAAGTCTCCTGCAGAAGGGATTATGCTGGGTTTTATTGCATTTCTGCATCACTTAGTCTATGACGGCAAGCCCTTTAATTGGTAAGTATTGGTACCAACAGGCCTCCAAAGCAAATGCCACTAGAGCCTGCCGTTTGAGAGAATGGAAGCTGTTTCCAAGGACGACCTATGGCATATTTATGTTTGAAGCTGCTTGTACCTCTTCCATGCTGACCTTCACTACGGTCTTGACCTCGAAAGCACCGCAAAGCACAGAGTAGAGCCTCGATTTGCAGGAAGAGTCAGGTGGGTTGAAGATACCTCAGCTGAGCCATTGTAGAGCTGTCGAATCATTTTTTACATGGGTTTGCTATGCATCTTTGTTGCACGGACTTGTATTCGCCATCGTTTGAAGCAACTGCTCATTCCTAAGATACAGACCATTCAATTGTGAGTGCTTTGGGGAGTGGATACTTGGCTAATGGTGCCTTGCTGCGATTGTATTGAAGAAGACATCCAGTCTACAGTTTACAGTGAATAAGTGGTGGTTGTGGACCATTCGTCAAGGATAAACCATTTATGGAGTTGTAGGAGACTGTACAGAAAGGATTTGTGTTTTGATTTGTTGTAGATCCTCACCAATACTTCAAACACGATCAGTGTTGGCTGCCGTTAGCTTGTGTAACTTAGTAACGGTGTGCTGGCTATTTCCAAGGTCGGAGACGCTCACTTCAAGCACTGGGTCGTCAATTTGCCACAAAAGTCTCCAGCTACAGAGCGGTACTGAGAATTGAGCATGGTTTGAGAGCAGGATTTTTGAGTGAAAGGCAATGCGCTGCTTAAGTTTCTAATGAGCCACCCAAGCTCAAGCATGTTTGTAGAGCAAGAGCTAAACGTTGTCAGAACTGCTGCGCAGAGGTCAGTCAGAAACGTGGTGTCTACGGAAAGAATCCAGCGAGGCGTGAGAGCTTCGGCGAGAAGAGCAATCTCCATGCTCAGAGAACAAAGTGCATGGAGTCAAGTTTTGCACACCTCATTTACAGGAATCCTCTTGGATGGGCTTGGCGTGATAAAGATGGTTCAGCATGGCTTGTAGAGCGCTCAGATGAAAGCTCTTGGATTCGTGTAGAACGATGTGGATGCCATCTTTGTGGTATTTCAAAGCTGATGGTCTGAGAAGCAGGCATGCTTGTTTTGTCATGTGCTTCACATCGTTGCTCCTTGACCAACGCCCAAATCGGTCTCATCATCTACCATTCATATTACATCTTTAGTGTGTAACTCGGGAAACTAATTGTTGTGCTGTGCGGCCAAAGTGAAGTCTCGAGGGAGCGGAAAGGCTTGGAATAAAGTCAAATTCCGCAACTGCACAGGATTCCGCAACTATTTGTTCGGATTCTGCAACTAGGCTTCTAAAACTGGGATTCCGCGACTGACAGGATTTCGCAACAGTTCGAGCAGCAACCGCGGACCCAAGCATCCAATATGAGCCCTCCAGCTTCAGAATACCAGTTTCAGAATCCAAGTTTCGGAAACCCAGTTTCAGAATACCAGTTGCAGAATCCAAGTTTCAGAACCCTAGTTTCAGAATCCGACCGATTAGTTTCCGAATCCAGCTCGAACCTGGTGCCCACTAACCTACTAGAGGTCATGGATTGGTTCTTGGCCTCCCTATTTCTGACAGGTCGGTGACAATGGGCACCTTTATGCCGTGATGAATCACAGTGCTACAGCATCTAAGCAGTTAGTGGGGTGGCCCGATCTCAGACTATCGCTCTGCTTGGAAGCATGCGGGTGGCCGATTCAGATTTGTGTGTGTTCTTGTGATCCTTGTCTTTGTTTTGAGTCCGTGTTTCACTCGCTTCGTTGGCGTGCCATGTTTGGGTAGACTGATCTGGAACGGCTGTTTATATAACTATATAATTATAACATTGAACCAAACACCAGAGCTGAAAGAACCTCAAGTAGAGGAGGCATGAGGAGGCTGTCGCTCTTAGGTTGGAGGCCATTCACATTTGTACCTTTGACATCCTTTGACCTTTAAGAGCTTCAAGTGGTGTTTCTCATTCTTCCAAGCACGGCACCTGAGGGGTTTCGTTTCACGGTCACCATAGAGAACTGCCACTCTAAATGGATGTGGGTCAAAACCTTGGTAGGTTGACCTCCCTCATCGTCTTTTCAACCGGTCGGTCCCCCCCGGTTTTTACCCAAATTTGGTCGGTCCCACCGGTGTGCCATGTGGAAAGCAAATACATTGGGAATTGTAGCCCCATAGCAAGTGTGGAGGTTCATTCTCACAAGAGAAATAACCGAAGATATGATATCTGTGATCTCTCAATGAGTTTAAATCTCCCATCCATGAGAACATATGAGAACCAGGAAACGATGAGATATGATGAGATATGCAACATCTCTTCCAGCTCTCCAAGGCTCCAAACTCCACTCCGTTGGGCTGTGCAGGGGACACCCAGTGCACCACCGCTGTGGCGAACACTGCGCCACGACAACTGGCCCAACGAGACTGGACATTTCACTGAAGTCCTACCATCCTGCTTTCTCCCTCGAAACCGTTCAGTTTAGAACCGGTCTTGTTTAGTCCCGGTTGGCTTTAGCGGTCTGACAGAACCATTTCAACGCCAGAGCTGGAGAGAGTGGTGGACCCCCTCAGATAGGTTCGCTTCCATGCCAAAGCGGACGAACCGGGAGGAATGCTCTCATGCCTGAAGGTAGCTTTGAAGTGTTTACGTGAATTTGCTGTTCTCGAGCTTTCCCGTATAGGGCTCACCTGAAAGCAACAACGCCTTCCAAGTCCCATGTCAATACATGGTCAGGTCATTGGAGAATACCATTTGGATCCATTTGGCACTCTATTTCTGCGATTGCGGGGCTGTCGTGTTTTGTAAATCATTGTTGGTGTGTATTTGATAACCAGTCAGGTTGTTCAGTTCACTTACAGTATTTTTTGCTGCAAGAAGCTCAAACTCCATCTTCAGATATCTTCAGGGTTCATGCGGGGTAATTACTCTCCATTTTCGGAGCATGCAAGAGAGAAGTCACCAAGCTGAAAAATATAGTCACGCAGCATCAAAGAAGAACTTTAACTTAGAAGAACCAGGTGCGGCCATGGGGGCGAGCATGTGATGGTCTGCCCAGGACACTGATTCATCAATCAGCCATCCAAATCTACATGAGTAGGAATTTGTGCAGGATTGGTGAAAACAAGTTAAACAAGACGTTCAATCTCCTTATTCGAATGCCACTAGGTCCAACCGCCACCTAGCGTGTCTTGGCGCGATTTCTGGCCATTTGGCGAGGTCGCGAAGCTCCCAGACGGCCGCTGGATTGCCGGTGGCGCCGACGGCAGCATCTACTTAGGTGCGGTGTGTGCATTGCATGCCTGTCTTCGAAACATTGTGTTTTGTGCGTGTCAGGTGTGTGTATAGTCTAAGGCTGCATATATATTGACGGGAATCTTGAGGCTGAGGTTTGATGATTAGAAGGATTAGAGCCAACATGGACTTGTTGCTTGTTTGCCGTAGTATTGGAAAATAGTTGAACTGTTGTCGTTCGTTCCAGTATGTCAGAACGACCATGGGTCGGCATATGTCGGTATCATTCTTGAGAGCGTATTAGTTTGTTCTTTTCAGGATCTTCTGGTCCTACAGTGCACCTGGAGGACTCCGGGAGATTGTAGCGGAACAGGGAACATGTTGAACGAAACAAATTAGAGAACCACTGGGTGATCCTGGGTGTTTCAACATGAATTACTTGGCTGACGATACACTGGCTGGAGCCCTGGCGAATCTAGTGCCTTCGAGGCCTGGGATTGTCATCTTCGATCTCTGACTTCCCCTCATTGGAACAGTCACACATCAGTGGCTGCATGAAACCGAACTCCACTCTGTGCTGAGTCTGGGCCTTTTGCGCAAGCTTGATTCCCAGCTTGGGCGGTCTAATATGCTGTAACTATATCACTACCCCCTTGCAGTGCTTGACACCCCCGGAGGGTAAGGTAGTGATATATTGATTTGGCTCAAGTTGGAGGATGAGATTGAACCCCAAAGATCCATAGCGCTGCGTCTGGCTGACCAAGCACCCCATGGTCTTGCGGCTGAGAAGGATTATTGGTACAATCTGGGGCCTGTTTGTGTTATGTCTTCCAGGATGGGGACTTGAGAATGAAGAAGTGGAGGTACAGGCCACTGATCTTTTGCAGCAAAAGTATAAGCTGCAGCCGACCTGTGGCTTTGAGCCTGGGATTCATTTGGTGAAGCTCACCAAGCTAAAACGCCAGTTTGTCTTCATGGTGCCTCGCAAGGCTGCAAGCAACTCGGGGACTCCAGCCTTCATGTTCTTTCACGGAGTCTATCAAACGCCGTGGTTTTCGGTCAATATCTTGGGATTGCCCGATCTGCTCGAGCATTATGGATGGTTTGCGATCTTGCCCTGGGGAAAGTACAGGTCCGAGGATTTCAGCATGGGAGGCTTGCGTCAATGCTGCTCTCCCCTTTGCGATTCAGATGAGTGCTGCCTCGCTTCCAAAGAGATTGCTATGAAGGACAGAGTGCAACATCTCACAAAGAAACACAACATGGTTTCTCTCCAAACATCATAGGGGAATCAATCTGAACTGAGTCCCATCTTCCAGGGGGCAACACTGACCTTTGGGGAGGGGTGAGGGATCAAAATAAAAATAAAAATAGAATCAAAAAAAATATTCAACGGGGATCAATAAAAAAATAAAAAGGTAATCAAAAAAAAATTATTCTAGCCCACTGAGGATGGTTGGGTAGTAGTAGTAGTAGTAGTAGTAGTAGTAGTAGTAGTAGTAGTAGTAGCAGTAGCAGTAGCAGTAGCAGCAGCAGCAGCAGCAGCACCAGCGTAGCAGTAGCAGTAGCAGTAGCAGCAGCAGCAGCAGGAGCCGGAGCACCTTAAAATATTGATTTCGTGGCAGGCGCGGGTGTCGGGGATGAAGTGCAGATTTCGTGGCGCGGGTGGGGTTGGGGGGGGGGCGCAGCGCCCCCCCCAGCAGCACACCAGATCCAAAGGTGAGCAGCTCGTGCTTGCTTGCTTGCTTCCTTGCTTCCTTGTTTGGTTTCGTCTCTGCAACGAAAACAACAGGAAAAGCAAATACAAAAAGAGAAAGGAGAACAGCTGCCAAAAGAAAGAAAGATAGATAGATAGATAAATAGGTATAGACAGATAGATGGATAGGCTAAAAAGCCAAAAGCCACAAAAGCCAAAAGCCACAGAAGCCACGAAAGCCAAAAGCCACAAAAGCCAGAAGCCACAGAAGCCAAAAGCCACAAAATCCAGAAGCCACAGAAGCCAGAAGCCAGAAGCCACGAAAAACAAAAAATCCAAAAAAGAAACAAAAAAATCCAAAAATAAATCCCCCTCCTAGTAGTAGTAGTAGTAGTAGTAGTAGTAGTAGTAGTAGTCGTAGTCGTAGTAGTAGTAGTAGTAGTAGTAGTAGTAGTAGTCGTAGTAGTAGTAGTAGTAGTAGTAGTAGTGGTAGCAGTAGCAGTACTCACGGCGTTCACACGAAGTTAGGCCCTACATGGCGTTGTCAGAGCGCTCGGAGACAGAAGGACTAGGATACCAGATAACCAACGGACCACAGGACCAGAGGACCAGGAGACCGGAGGACTAGGGGACCAGTGGACTAAAGGACCAAGGGACCAGGGGACCAAAGGACCAGTGGACCAGAGGACCAAGGGACCACATTACCAGAGGACCCGCAGACCACAAGGCCAGGATAGCAGCAGAAGAGGCCTATCAAGGAATATGTATTTTTTGATTCGCTTTTTATTTTTATTTTGATCCTGTTTTTATTTTTTTTTGATGCTCTTTTTATTTTTTTTGATACCTATGCCGACAGACTCTTTTTCGAGTTCTGATCGAAGGACCTGGTGTCCCGCTTCGGCCGAGACGCGGTGGTGAGATGTGGTGGTTCTCGGTCGTTTCTTGGCCATGTGGGGTCCTGACCGGTCCTCGTGTCAGGATCATGCATGCGGCTTTTGGCCAAAAGATTTGCAACAGAACCTGGCAATGGTGGACGCGATTTTTGAGTGGATGGCATCCAACACCTGCATTGACACTTCAAAGGTCACTAGTCAAGCATGTCGAACGATAAGCGGCGAGCGAGTTCTACTTTGCAGATCAATAGATTCAGCAGGAGCTCACTGTGACACTGTATGTGTGGTTTGTTCTTGCACAAATCAGCAGCCGTTTTTTATTACCCTCCGATCCCCTGACGCGACAATTGAGGTCTTCGCTGGTGGCTTTAGCTATGGCGGCTACTTCACGCAAGACTTGGCGTGTTTGAGGAGATGGTTTGTAAAATACATGGAGCGTTGCTCGTTGCTCGTTGTTTTCTTTCTACTATGGCAACTTCGAGGATCTAGCTCTTCCCTATTGCATTACCCAATTACACTGTAAATCTGTCACAGTTTGCTGTTACAAAGTTGGTCTAGGTATGAGGTGTGAGAGGAAATGTTTTGACAAGCACTCCGTGACTCAGGAGCAGCAAGTTTCAGGGCTTTGCTCCTAATGCTGCACCTGGCTTTCCGGTTCCGTTTCGAGAGAGACCTGGATTTAACGTTTGCTTTCTCCATGTTTCTCGAAATTGGACAAGAAACTCTTTTGAGGAAGACTAGATATGTCAGTTAAGTTATGTCTATAGTTTTCCCCAGTGCTCAAACAACTCTAAGGAATCCGGTGCCCATCGCTGAGTGCAAAGATCAAGGGCCTGAAACATTCATCAGCACCTAGGCACTATGAAGTTTCAGCAGTACGACGACTACTTACTACTACTACTACTACTACTACTACTACTACTACTACTACTACTACTACATTTTAAGCCTGTTTTTGCAATTGGATGAGAATGTGACTTCTGACTTCTGCTTTTCTGGAGCTTCAAGATGTACGTCGGCCTCTTGACATGAAACCACATTGATGTTTTCCTTCGTTGACCATTTTTATCAAACACGTCCCCACATGCAATCTGTCAATACTCTGTGATTCAATATATTCAACTCTGCATCGATGTGCACTCGGTGGGGGGCTGCTGTTTTTTTTCTCCGAAACTAGCGGGTGATCAAAACTGAGATACTTTTGCTCCCAAGTTCAATTATTAAAAGGACTTTTAACATCCAGCCCAAACAAAGGGCAGGGTAATTATCCTCAAGGACTATGTGAGACTTGAGCAACTAAATCAAGGGCCACGACCCCATTGCAGAATATAGTTGTACCGGCCTGCAATTAACACACGTGAATGCCATCACTGCAATCAGGGATCATATTAAGACTCTATAGCCGCTATAGCCAAATTTGCAGTTTTTCTTGTATGTTGAAATATATACACGAAAACTAGTTTAGCACACTGCACATCTCTACATATAGATAGGTAATGTATGCAGTCGAGACATCAAAAGACAACTCTGGCCACTAGCACTAGCACTCGGTGACGTTCCAAGTTTTCGGTTGTGTTTGAATTCAGGATGTTCATTGCCATGGAGGTGGCACACATTCATGAGGGCAGCACGTTTGAGTCGAGATAGAATTTAGGTTGAAAGACGCTGGCATAGAGAAACAGGTCTGGCTGCCGGCTGGCTTGTGGAACCTATACTATGAATATGATGTTAGAGTGTGTTTCTGTGACCTTGTCCTTGTCGTGGTGGTGGGAGCTTTCCTGGGCTTGCCTTTCCGAGAGATCTCAAGGTTTTTGTGGCTCTTTTGATACCGCCTTTTGCTTCGAAAACAGTGAAGCTCGAGCTGCCGTGGCTGCAAACCATAGCCGTTGCACTGGCAAGGACCGACAGATCCTTCATGAATGCGAAGCTTAATATGCGTGATGAAGCTTAACAAGCTGAAATGTGCATTGAATAGACTTAATAAGCTGAATGAAGCTTGCTTAATAAGCTTGTGTCATATTGATTCATATTGTATCATATGGTATCATTAAATTGGCTGATCTCTATTTTTTGCGTGTCAAACAATTCCGTACCGTTTTAGGTTATGGAATGCAAGCGCGTACTTGGTGCTTCTCCTAATCTATTTGACCCCATGAGACATGAACTTGTTATTAATTATATACTATATAACCCAAAACGCACAGCTTCTTGTTTGAAGCGAGGTGGACGACCGCGACGGAGTGCACTATTAAGTGTGTTTTCGATTTCCGTTTCAGATCTGGGATTTCCTATTAACTCGCATCGAGACATGTCGTGTTTTGGGACAGGGATGCGACTCACAGTTCCCTTCGATTTCCGTCCCTGTTCACCTTCCGTTTTGGTGAATCCCGAAAAACTAAAAAGACCCAAAAACGACACATGGAGGCTTTTGCTGGGCGCAGAATCGGGAAGAGGATCTCCCCACACCGACGCACCCACCTTCACGTGGGGAGTGCCCTTTTAGGAGCTGCAGCGGAGATCTGCCACGGTGAATTGCACTGTTTGGACTGGCTGCCACGATGAACATGTCGTGGAGAGCTGCATGGTGCACCGGAGTGAAATTTACGACACCGGACATGGCCACGTCGGACATGGCGATGTAGGTCCAAAGAAAGGCGCCTGCGCATGGCAGCTTTGACCCTCTTTGTGTGTCACAAAGTATAGGGGTGGATGCAAACGATCTTTGGATATGGTTGAATCTGATAGATAAATCAGTGAGACCCTGACACATCATTTATCACAGTTCGTCGGTTCGTCGGGTAGGTCACTTGCGATGTGTTTTCAACGCCAAAAGAATGCGACTTATTCAGGCAATCCTTTGCGTACTGCAGGATAATTACAGGTTTATGAAATGATGAGCCCCAGAATTATGTTTGGTGCAGTGAGGGAAAGAGAGTTCCAGAGTGAGTCGGTCGACTCCTTTTGGGAAGTCTACTTGCTGCTCCAGCAGAATTGCCACAGTGTAGCTTTTCTAGGATTCTACTAGGATTCTAGGGTTGAACCAAACATGTGGCTCTTTGATCAAACATGGTTGAACTTCGTTTCTTCACCTCTGAGGTCTACCACTTGGACCATGAAATTTCAGGACATGTCGCACCGGATGACACCACTTTCCTGCATCCGGCGTCGGATCTGGACTACACGACCTACATCTTCGAAAAGTTCTCCCTGCGAGTGGAGCCACACCAAATCAGGTTCTATGGTGTCCCTTCAAGAGATGATGAACTCTGGAAGCAATCGACTTGGCCTTTGCAGAAGCAGTTTGACTTTATGCCACTCGCCTTGACATTGCCTCTTACGTTGAGAGCCTGTGGATGCATGATGATGCATGTGGCTGCTAATCCTCATTGCACCAAGCTGTTTGATGTTAGTTAGTTGGCATCATCGTAGTTTTATATACACAGACTCACACACATATTTATATATTGTTTACATAATAGAATAATGAATTTGTCATCTAGGCCTTCAAGGTGTGGAGCTTGCCTGTAAGATCCTAGACCGGTGACAGCTCAAGGTTCAATCAATGTACAGTAAAGGTTCAATCAATCTACTGTAGCTGCAAATGCACGGTTCCTTCTTATCACCGATTCCACCCAGGCATTTGCGCAAAGCCTTGGCGGCCAAAGGCATGGAGACATTGCCCGATGGCAAAGTGACTGTCATGTCAACCTTTGAGGTTGAGTGAGATGTTCGGCTATGACAGCAAGGACTTTCTGTGCTTGGGGAATCCAAACGTCAAGGAAGACTTAATAGGATTGTTTTATTTCTCTCCGTGAGTAGAGCACGGCATAGCATGCAGCATGGGTGATGACAGGGGGTGGGAGATGCCAAGAATCCGCTCTCCAGACCTCTGCAATGAATTGCGCGAGATGTGGTAAAATGCCGCGATCTCTTGATTTTTTGCATGTTACTATTCCTTCCAATGGTTACTTGTTTTTTACAGTAGGACACAGTTCTTTGATATTTGCTACCTACACCAGACCAGTCAACCGTCCCATCATACCAGGTTTTTCTTGATTTGGCAGGGGTTGCTTCCTTTGCGTCGGTTCATGGCCAGGAGGAGCTTCGCTTTGGCCAGTTGAAAGGGAAGGAGGTTGAGGCCACAAGACGATCAGCGAAATGTGTGGAGCCTGCCGTAGGGGTATCGTTGGGCGCCTTGCACCAAGGAATTGCCTTCATGTGGTCAATGTTGACCGGGACGCATGATCGAAACATATAGTAGCGTCCTTGCTTCTACCAGTACGGCCAGGAGCCCCTAGTAGCGTCCTTGCTCCTAGTAGTATGGCCAGGAGCCCCTAGTAGCTTCTTGCTCCTAGTAGTAAGGCCAAGAGCCCCTAGTAGCTTCCACAGCGCAACGTGGCAAAGCTGACTCAGGGAGTAGGACACTAAAGTGTTGAGTTTGCTTCGAACACAGAGATAAAGGTGGTGAGGTACGATGACCTCAGGTGGTACTTTTCAGCTATTTGCAAGGTTAGAAGGGCCGACACTCTTTTCGGAACCCGGTTGTTCTGGTGGGGAACCGCGAGCACACGCCAGCAGCCTTTAAGACATATATTGACAACATTATACAATATACTCCTAACCGCGCCGCAACTCATTTGCAGGCATTTGGCAGCACCGCCACTGCCCGCTTCAATGCAGTTACGGTGTGCCTTGATAGAAAATCACAATGCGTGTGGCGAGTTGTCCATTCCACAGCAAGATGACGCTGTAACCCTCCTGAGACTCTTTTGTGTTCAAATACCAAAGATAACCTCCCCTGATCCATGTCAATCATCGACTCAGTCGATTGAATCGGCACCATTTCCAAATTTGTTGCCGGCCTTAGCGGTTTGGCTTTCCTGAGGTCGGGCCATTTAGCTGTCTTTGGCTCCTCTAATCACGCCCAGTCCTCGATCGAGACTGTGGAGCCCCAAGTCTTAAGTGGTCTTCACTTGCCTTCCCAGCCAAGCAACCCAGTAGAGACTAATCATAAGTAGACTACGAGTAGACAATGCTAGTTCGAAGTTGGTTTATTAATTAAAGGTTCTCCCAAGCGTCTCTTCCTTGCTTTTCATCCTGTTGAGAAACCCGGTCGGCACTCTTAAGAACCCCACACTTGGCAGCCTGGCATGAAGGCAGCCAGATTTTGAGCCAGTTTCATGGTGAAACATGGCTAGAAGCCATGCCCGATTCAAGAATTTGCCATGCAGCCACAGGCCCTCTTCCTCATAGACTATGTTCAACATGAGCAGCTTGGAAGATACTTGTAGTGAGAAGGGGCTAAATCAGGAGCTTGGACGTGTCTTACTTTCACATCTTTCACGCTTGGCGTGCATGTCTCAGCCTTCCTTTCTAACCAACAAGTGAGGATGTGATGAGAGCCATGATTTCATGTCGCATGTCCTGCTTCGGTCCATTTTCCAAGACCATACATGTTGTTATTTTTTTGAGTTTATTTCTACTAGCTTCTTGTTACTACTAGTAAGGCACTTGTTCCTAGTAGCGTGGCACTTGTTTCTACTAGTTTATTGTTTTGAATCTCCGAAGTCTGCTCACTCTGTCCATGTCGCAGGAGGATCAGCAGTAGCCATCACAAGAAATCATGGCGTCACAGCCGTTGATGAGGTGATTATGCATCCGTTCAGGGAGCAACCAAGTAACTGAGTGTGTTGTAATGCCGTAATGCCTAGAATCCAAAGCTTAGCATAGACGAAGGACGGCCAAATCCCTCCGAGTTCTGCAATTCGCCCAGGCTGAAACGTGTCCTCCAAGTCTCTCATACAGCAGAGGCTGGAAGATGTTGAAAGTAAACATCTCAGGTCCATCAGGTGTCACACACTGTCCAGAGTGTCATATAAGACGTCCAATTTGTTCATGCTTTCTTAGGTTTTTCCCCATCCTCGAAGCGCTTTCCTTTTTTGGGGAGCCTCGACATCTTGGGCTCGACGAGGCCTGGGCATTGGACTTTCACCCGACCTTGTCCATCTTGGCGCGGCTGGCGACGACGTGCTTTTTGAACTGAACAGTTGGGTGTGTGAGAACAAATATCCAGGAATGCAAGAGGTCGTTTTCAACACAGTTTGGTGATGTTTGGTTTGCCTTGTCAATGGCCAGAGAACAGGCGGGGCTGTGAATCAAAACCTCTTCGGCTCAATCAGAAGGGTTAGACCATGGCCACCTTCTCCATCCTTGTCCAATACAAGGTGGTCCCAAAGGTCATCACCACGGTCAGAACTGCATGCAAAGTCATACAACATCTATTGTCCCAAGCTTCAAAGCTTGGTATTAGCACCCACACTGGTAATGGTAATAGCACTCAAACAGTTATCCAACTGGTAATTGCCTTTATCCCAACTCTGGTATTAGCACCCACACTCTCTTCTACGACAGGATGCATCGTAGACTGGAAATGGATGTTCCGATTCAGCCATCAAACGACATTTACTTGTCAATTTGTCTAAGTAGGTAGGCATGAGTTGTAGGGGCGTGAGTGTGGCCTTTCATCTATTTCTGCATTGCGCGAGGAGAGCACAGAGCTGAGCTGTCTTTAAATCCACACAGAGCTGTCTACCGCAGGCCACCGCATCTGCTCGCGGAGGAGTCCGCTTTTGGAATGTGGCAGATCGGAAGCCTGCAGTGGGCAAGGCAGCAGGGGATAAGCTCTTAATTACAACATAAGACCTTCCAGGTCAAGAATCAAGTTAATCATCCATGAACTTGAATTCGCCAATCTTTGCTCGAGAACAGGGGACATTATAGACTAGCTCGTGAGCCGAATGTAAGATAGCTTGTAGAGAGCCCTGTGCTTTATTCCCATTGACTTCATGCTGTATATATGTACGTAAGCTTCAATGTTCATAGTTCATAGTACAGCTTTTCATACTTATCCACCTACCCCCTACATCACCATCCTGAATTGAGAAAAGTGTACCCACAGTGCTGGGTATACCCACAGTGCTGGGAACTCTGCAGGTGCTACGATCCGAGCTTCCTACATGGGCATTGGCCTTCCAACCCATTGTGGGGAACCCAGAGGCCTTCGATCGCTGTCCGCTGTCCATCAGAGGTTCGGCTTCGACTTAGGACGGCTCCCTCCTGGCCGTTGGAATGGAGAAGGGTGTCCTGGAGGCCGCGACAGACCGTCCTTGCTCCGAACAGAGCGATGCCCTTTGTTACGTTCCGTAGCTTCTGAGCTCCGTTCGTAGTAAGGCCAGGAACCCCGGAAAGTAGCCTCCTTGCTTGCCATGAATTTGTGAGTTGTTTAATGGAGTTGTTGGGAGGCTGATTGGAGTTTTTTGGTACTTGTAGACTTGTAGCAGGACGAACGTTTGATGCCGTGAATGCCCGGCGAGTTTGTTTGACGCTTCATCCTCCGGAGTTTCACCAGGTGATGCACTTTCCATCCCTCCAGCCCACGTTTCGAGAGAGGCACATTGGATTGGAGTTGCTGTTTACGTTTTGATGTGTGTTGAGGTGCAGGAAATGGTGCGTTGGAATGCGATTGATGTGAATGCTTTGCAGATCCATCCAACAATAGAATCGATAGAGATTGCTAAATATATTACCAACATACCTACCGTTTAGTTTCTGTAGTTTATTTTAGTTCAAAGATGCTCAACCACCAAACCGGCTTCAAGCTGTATGCCAAGCACTTCTAATTCCAACGAGCTACCAATGGCTATCACTATCACCGGCCTCTTCAAGAAGCTATTTCTAGTAGTCAGTATGCAAATGCAAACTGACGCCCTTTAATCAGCTGCAGGTTGTCACGTGCGGGTGAGTAGAGGCCTCAGCCAAACTCTATGGGTGGTGCATGAGAAAATGGAGGGATGTCCTGAGGTCGATACAAACCATGCACTTCTGTGGCAGTCAATTGCTTCAGTTTCAGTGTCTTCAAGCAGGATCTTTTGGTGAGTGGAACTCCGCACGCTGATCCAAAGCCCGCACAGATCCGCACGGTGTCACGTTGTTCCTCATTCACGATCACGGAAACGAGGCGCATCAGCGCGATACGTTTCAGTCCCTGCGGTCGCTTTGTGGCTGCCGGCTCTTGGGACCAGGAGGCGTCGACCGATGGGAGGGCGAAGCTTCACGCAGATGGCATGGTGAGTTGGAAGGTGACCCTGACATTTGGCTAGGAGCAGTAAGAATGCTACTAGTAACAGGTGCATCGCTAGTAGTAACAAGTGCCTTACTAGTAGTAACAAGAAGCTGTTAATTAAATTAGAATTAGTAAGAATGCAACTAGTAGCGATGCGGGCAAAAAGGCAAGTTGCCCAACTGTTTGTGAACCATGACTCACTGGAGTCCACCTGACTCACTGGAGTCCACCTTCAAATCTCCTCGATAGGGACTCTGGTATGATACAAGTCGATGAATGACATTGCAAACTAAATCGGCACGACCAAACTTGAAGGGGTCAATGCAAAGCATTGCCTTTGACCTGGCAGGTTTAAGTTGTGACGACCCTTCGTCCTCGGGGGATTTGTTCCGGAATATTCCTGAAAAGCATTCAACTGGTCGTCAGACGGAAACCGCTGTGACAACCATTTGCTGGCCCCTCTTGGCTTTGTCAGTTCAGGTGTATCTCTTGTCCATCAACGAGTCACAAAAGGCGGGCACCAAGATCTAGCGAAGGCAGCAGAGCCAGAGTTGAGTCAGAGTTGGCTGAAAGTCAAATTGAGATTACACGGTGATTTTGCATAGTATTGTAATTCATTATATATATAATATATATAATATATAATATATATATAAGATTCAGATCTATATACAAACAGAAAGCTGTACTCACGTACAAGTTTGGTCATCGGGTTCAGCTTCGTTTCCCTTCAAGGTCGCCTTGCACAAAATCCTCTCCGGCAACACCTCAAGCATTACCTCGGTGATGTTTTCAGCTGATTCGCCCGGGCTCACAGCGAAGCATTGCATGGAAAGCATGGCCTGTTGCTCGGGCTTTTGCCAAGTGGTTCAGCCAGTTCAGCCAGTGAGTGAGCTTTTCTTGCAGCAAAAGGAAGCTTGTGTTGTGATTGGGCATGTGGTGTGGTGAGCTAGCGTTGAGCTAGCGTTTTCCCGAACGACCTCTGGTGAGCTTCGTGATCCTTCCATCATTTTCGACCTTTGTTGTCGCCGATCCGTCCCAAATGCAGCGTCCCACCCGCATCTCCCCACCCTGATGCAGCCAGGAGTATTCTCTCAGATGCAAGTGCATGCTATTGGGTTGGAGGCCATCGCTAGAAGTCGTAGTAGTAGTAGTAGTAGTAGTAGTAGTAGTAGTTGTAGTAGTAGCTTAAGCTCCATCGAGTGCCCAATGGTCGTCATTGGTCGCCTCCCTTGAAAACAGCTCCTACCATCACAAGCCGAGTGGCGGTGAGGCTGCTAATACTCGTAGCATACACCGCGCAGAACGTGCAGCATCGATCACCGCTCAGCACGCTTACATAAGACGCATTTGTGCGCCTTTATGCTGCAAATGTTTTTGATGTGTACATAATCATTCTTACCATATTTTGCAGATGTCGCTCATTCTTGTCATGAAGTGCAGCCATGTGTCAGACGGTTAAATTTATTCATCTTGGAATCTTAGCTGCTGGGTGTCTTCGATTGCTCCCAGGCACCACGTGATGTCCAACTCCAAAGACTGTCAAATCTTGCATTGGAGCGTGAAGGCCTGGAACAGCCATGGATTTAGAGGTTGATTCTGGAGGAACACTTGACACACTTTGCGCATGGATCACGAAGTGAGGGAATCTGAAGAGGTATTATGTCATGCAGCTTGCTGTTGAAGTGATCAATGACATTAATTAATATGTTTAATAGGCTATTAATAGCCTAATAGGTGGACCATCTCACTAGCATAGAGAGCAGATCAGACCGTCCGCTTCCGGATCTACGCGCTTCCTCCGTGAGGATGGCGTATTGGAACCATCACAGATGTGTTTCAGAGATACTAGGCGCGACACGGTGTTTCTTGATGTGGAGTGGAGTCTGAAACACCGAATGGATGGTCGACCTGTTTCCTTCTTTGTTTCTACGTTCGCTTCTTGTTACTAGTAGTAAGGCACTTGTTACTAGTAGCGATGCACTTGTTCCTAGTAGCTTCTAAGAGTATCAAGCATAAAGAGGCAATGAGTCTCGGATGGAGGAATCCATGATTGGGAGCCACAGCCAGGTGGCAAGCACCCTGGAGTGCCGTCGGAGGCCACGGTGCAATCACTTCGGTTTCTGGAAGACGAGGACTTCTGCTTTCGGCATGGACTTCTCAATCGCCCACATGGTTCCTGTTCCGATGGAGGTGGATTGCAAGTCGGTCAGATCCCACCAACCTGGACACTCGCAGCTGCACCTTCAAATAGGGAACATGTGACAATGTGAAACATATTGTGAAACCTTGTGAAACACATCATGAAAATTCAACTAAAAGACCATTGCTCGGGGACCATACCTCCAAATTCGATTTAGCCTTGGTGACGCAAAAGCAACGATGAAGGAACAAAAGGGCTCGCGGATAAGTCGGCATGACCAGGTCGAAGCGTCCAACTTGGGTAGGGGTTTGGCAGCGCTTTTAATCCTTGCCGTGCTGCAAGGAACTTGTAAGCGTGACCCTTTAGGTTACTCGGTTACACTGTGTCCCAATTCAAGCACACACCGTTAACAAAAAATATCCACATGATGAAAGTCAATCCGGAACGCTCCTGATAATTGACTCTTGGATATTCAGAAGTTGTGGCTTCTCTCCATCCGTGGCTTGGAAGATCGATGTGAAAAATAGGCTGGTCAAGGCCTGGCCCACGTCGTCCTTTTCTTTTTTCCTCTGTGTCTAATAGCGATGGCCTCAACCTACCAGCGATGGCCTCCAACTGAAAATGGCCTCGATTGCTTCACCTGCTGAGGTCCTGGGATGGCCTGTGGTCGGGATTTGGAGCGATCCCCGCTACGACTCGCCGACATCTCAGCTTTGGCGTTCAGAAGAACAGCTCAGTTTTGGCGTTCAGCGTTCGGTTCGGTCGGATCAGAGCTTTTGGGGGACGATCTTTTAAAGGTATTTGTGCACTGTACATGATGGCCACTTGGGGCGCCTGTCTACCGGAAGGTTCACTTTATTCAATTTGGAGCTGACGGTCAGAGTCAAACAGAGCAGCGGAATTGCAGCAACCTGCAGTTTATAGGCCAATTATATAAAGCGTCTAACTGGACAAGTACTGACAACTTTGAATTGAGCAACGTCTTTTTTTCAATTGAAAGGAGTCAGGCAGAAGTGGAACTTGTTATCTTTCCGCGAAAGCAAATGTATGAAGCTTCTTGTTCTGCGAAAGCTCGCGAAAGCAGGGCGGTGTTACGACTACTGTTGCAGGAACCATACAAAACCTAAATCAAAGCTGATCCACGCGAAAGCTCGCGAAAGCTCCGCGAAAGCACCTACAGCCTCCATCCAACCCATGCCCTTTCCAGGGCCCAGGAACCTTTTGAACATGCATTTGCTGCCGTAGGCATTCCAAGCTCAAGAAACTTAAGCCTTCTTTGGCATTCATGCCCGCCCAAGACAAGACTTGGTTTGATTTCACTGCCAAGTACAGGCGTGAACTCGCCAATGATGTCGCTGATACTGTCATGTCTAAGTGCGCGACCACTGATGAAGCCGCTGCTTTCTTGCAGCATGTGGCCGATAGAATCCGCAGGCAAACTGGGCAGACTCTCCCGGTGATTGCTTCGAAAGACAGCAGCACGCTTCGAAAGACAGCGGCACTGTTCCGATGCACCGCGAAAGCGTTCGCGTAAGCACCTTTGATAAGCATGTGCATCGCGTTGGCACCCTCTGCAGCCGCGAAAGTTCGCGAAAGCATTGGCGAAGGTTCTGTTTTAGTGTATAGGCCCCAAGCAACAAAAAAACAATGCTCAATTGAGTTGTTCGAGTCAACTTGCCGGAGCTCTTTTGTGAGGGCAGACGGGCTGACGGAACTCATGCATACTACTCATGCCACTGCTCGACATGGATAGATATTTACTGGCAATAAAGAAAAACACAGTTGATTTCTGAAAAGCCTGCAAGGAGCGACATCAACTCAGCGTGCCAGGGATATGAGAAAGCCTTAGCTCTCGCAGCGCCGCAGTGTTAGCTCTCCATGGTGTTCATAATGAAGTGTGCAACATACGTGAATTACAACATACGTGAATTATAAAGGATGCTACTAGGAGCAAAGGGCATCGCTACTATATAGGAGCAAAGGACGCTACTAGGGGCTCCTGGCCTTACTACTAGGAGCAAGAGGCTATTAGAAACAATAATTATACTGCAAACACAATCCGTTTTCTGGACATTTTCTCCGGAACTGCAAGTTGCTGTGAAAGTGACGTTAGACGGGTCCATTGACCATGGCCATCCATAGCCTCTTGCACTGCCTTTTCAGAAACGGCAGATTTCTGAGGCCAAACATGACAACGTCCTGGCTTTTGGCTGGGACCTTGGCCTTGTGTGAACTTGCCAGGAAAAAGATATGTTTTCCATTAACATATAGTTTAAAGATGTTTAAGGGTGATTTATAGTGTAGGTTTTGGGTTAATTACACTTTTCACAAAAGCCTCGATGTTCCATGATTTTCATGCCAAACTTCAACCCTTCGCCGACAAGGTTGCTCGTGAAACAAACGGGTAGAAGGTGTCCGGTAGACTGCTTTCACCTGCGGACTGGTGGTTAGTTTGGAAGCTGCTCAATATAGCTTAATTATAGATCTCTAAAAAGATCGGGGAAATATCGTGGGGAAGGCTTGAGCAGATGTTTCGAGCTGTACCAAATTGGCCGACTGACTTTAATGCACCTCCCATCCTGGCCCATCCCAGTCTCCTTGGCGGAGATACTCTGACTCTCTCCTGACTTCGCTCAGGCGATGACTACGGCCGTGTGAAGCTTCTTCGCTTTCCAAGTCCCTTCGATGCGCCCGGCGTAGAGGCGACGACCGCACGTGACGTCTGACACATAGGGTTAGGCGTCCCATCAGACGCATAGGTTCTTGGGGTGTTTCTCGGTCAGACATGAACATGTTGTCCTAAGCAATTCGCTTGCTACAGGCTCAAGGCTGTCAAGCCGTCAAGCCTCAGCCCCATGAGATCCAGTTTTTCTGCCGGGCTGCAGCTATAAGATTTGGTCCATGGTCCATGGTGCATCATCGTTTCTTCTGAGACAACTTGATCAAGACTTCTACCAATCAAGTGTTCCTTCAAAGGAAGAGTATATACAATATATAACTACGAAATCATGTTGTCACAGGCTCAAGAAAGTGCATGTTGACTAGGCTTTTGCCGACAGCCATGAGTGTGAATGGAGAAGCCAAAGGCTGCTGGAAGTGCTGGCCTGAATGGCTAGACTCAGAACTGCTCCAACACTGGAGACAAGTCTTAGGCGCCTGGATCGTGTTTTTTGTCACTGCAGGGCTCACATACCATGCACCGCCTGTGATGCTGAGTGCCATCAAGGCGGAGTTGCTTGGCAAGATGGCTCGAAAAAGTGGATCAATCGAATGAGACTCGTCCGAGCCATTGCGTTGGAGGTATCACATCCGCCAACCACACCATTTTCCACCTGGCGTCCCAACAACTATGCAACATGCTGGGTAAACGGGGGGGGTTAGCCCCGGACGCAACGCACCGAGGGTCAAAAAACCTTGTTTTTTACAGGGTAAAGTGGCTTTCCGGACACTCAACTTATCGTCTTGCAACTCATGAGTTGCAAGACGATAAGTTGAATGCATTGTGACGGACGTATTCACCGACCCGCCTGCTCCTTGTCCATGGCGCGAAAGTGATTTTCCACCTGCTAGGCATTAGTCTTGGTCCCAGTGGAGCCATTTCAGCTCAGTATACATGGCAGCTGGCGGACAAGTGTCTTGCACAGCTTCCCTATGTATCCTGACCTCGAGCATTGCGTCCAACCCAGGATGTTGGCTGAACCACAACGCTGCGAGGCCTTCAACGTGCTGGCGTTGCAGCTTCGCGTCGCAACGGCCAAGCAAACCCATTCTACGCAGTGATTTTTTCATCACTGCTGCCAAGCTTTCTGTACCTTGGTCTCTACCAACGACCGTAACTTTGCTCTGTTTCTCGAGCAGCATGGGTCTGGCAGAAGAAGAGGAACGGATGGAGCTACCTTGCTTCAACGCTTGCAGGGCCTTCTTGGGAAGGTGTCGTTTGCTCAGAGTCACAGTCGGCGTGTACTCGCTCTGCCCTGAGTCTGCAGATCAACTAAATTTAGTTTTTGGATGAAATCAATGTAATTGAAAAAATTAGTTGGTTTCCTACTAAATGTTTGAAAAACTAATTTTTCATTGTAAATTTCAACAAAGTCAAAACAACATATAAACAACATAGAAACAGCATAGAAACAACATATAAA